GGAGGCCGAGGGGCTGCATTTCTACCCAGTTTCCAGACTGCTGGTCCCTGGACCAGCTGTGAGTAGCAAGCCTTCAGATTGGCGATTTTCAACCTGTGTGCCGCCAGTTTTTTGAAACATGCAAAACCTGACTATTTAGTCCGGGGCACTGATGTCTTTTCCCTTAGAGTTTCAACTGGAAAAAAAAATGCCAACAGCCAACACAATGACAGCCATCGGTGTGAATAAATCAAAATTATAATTAGTTTACATGCACCACGAAATGAAAAAGTTTCCCTCAGATGATGGATAGAATGTGTGAAAAGCAAATGTGCACATGAGAAAGCACTTCATGAAGTCTAGAATGACATAAACGTCACCTTATGTTGGCTATAAATAATTGGCAAATCAGTTTTACTGTTCAAGAAAAAGTCTGAGTAGAATAAATTATGTTCTCGATATTCTTCATTTTTTTCCTCTTTAGCAAAATCATGAACAGAACTGGGGATTGGAAAGGCAACACAGGAAAGATATTCATCCTTAATAATATTGTTGCTTATCAGTTGCTTGGAAAGATTAACTTCTATATAACCATCTTAACTTAAAAGATAAAAAAAAAACAAAACCTGGCTTTTAAAAACAAATTTGTGCATTAGACCCAGTCCCAGATTCTTTCGGTAGATGGTCTCACTCCAGTCAAAACAGAAATAGTAAATTACAAGGAGAAGGAAGAAGACAGTCGGCTCCAGGGATGCCAGCAACAAGAAGAGATTGCTTTCAGGGAAGAAATTAAAAATGAGTGAGAGCCAGCACAAGAACGCAGAGGTCAGAGCTGCAAGGCTGTGATCACCACCAATTTCCCCAAGCAAAACTGTGCTTTTTCGTGGGTGTTGGCATTTTCTGTAAGAAATGAGGAAAACAGACAAGTACAATGATTGATTCCCAAAGCACTTTTCTGTTCCTATGTAAAGTATAATCAAGAATTCCTGTTCAAATGTTGGCTCACAAATTGGCCACCGTACCCAGAGGGCAAGGAGAGATCAAAAGAAGAGGCAGGGCGCTCCAGATCGGTATGCAATTGGTAGGTGGCAGCTTTAACCAGCAAGGAAACTCACAGACAAGGCCTGCCTCTGCTAGCCTGCCAGACTCCTACAAGTTTGTACAGAGGTCTTCACTGGGTTTCCTCACATTCACCGTTCAGGTGGCCTCAACAGCACATTGCTCTCGCTTTCAAGGCTGTGACCTTGAAAATGGCACCTGCGGTGGGAACGTGGGCAGAACAAACACTCCAAAAACAGGGGAGGGTGTGAGGGGCCTCCCACTGCCTGAGTCCTGCTCGTGGGTCCTCTGGCAGTCACGTCCTGCATACAAAACCCCTCCAACCTCGAGAAAACATGCGCTCTCTCTGGGGTTCCAGTCCCACAAGATTTTGGCCAATCTTTTATCATCACATGGTCAATGGACTATACTATGGGAAGGAGACTTTCATCACAGATGAGAAAATGCATGGCAGCTCCCTCCCGTGGAATCAAAACCCTTCCTGACCATCGAGGTTTTGGGCGTCGTGACACCGTCACAGGCCCAGATTGGCAACACTTTATCCAGATTAAACAGCACCTGGCTTGCCCCCCACGATAGCTCTCTACAGTGGTTCTGTGGCCACCGTGATCGCAGGATTCAAGACTGTTTCGGCGATGCCAGAAGTCCCTTTGACTCCTCAGAAATCCACCAGACCCCCCTGCACCTGCATCTTGTACTTTGTCTCCCTGCTTCCAACCTGTGTATCCTCTCACCTGCTCGTGGGGACCCAGAACACCAGGGTGCAGTTAAACAAACATGTATGAATGAAAACCCAGTCTGGTGTCATCAGAGAGAAGAAGAAAAAGATAAATGAGACCGAAATCTGAGGACCTGTCCACGTGTCCTGAGAGCACCATTCCTTTGAAAGATCCCTACAAGCAAAACTGCTAGGACCGATTATTAATTTCATTCTTCAGGCCAGTCAGCACCAAATGATGAGGCCAGTTAGATGCAGAGCAGCCATGAGGGCTCTGGTTCTGAAAACAAGCACAATGCAGATGCTGATGAACGTTTGGAAGCCAGAAGCGCACGCATGCTGGGGGAGTGTCACGCACCTGCAGACCGTCCTGAGCACTGGCCCTGTTGTCACCTGGCCTAGCTGCCCCAGGTGGGTGGCCTTGTGAGGAGGCAGCTCTTCACCCTCCAGCTGTGTCGCCTATGAAAACTTGACGCTTTGAGGATGACGGAGGAGCAGCTTCCTTCCACAGGAGCACTCGTGTGGCGTATCAGGAGTGGTTCTAAATGGTGGGGATAATTACTTAATTCACGCTGTAGCAACTGGCCAAGTAAACACGTAGCAGCCAGGAAGCTATTAGCATGATTTTAAGGCAATTATTCCATTAGTGTTTAATAGTCTCCAATTAGTCTTTTCTGACTATGGCAGCTTGAACGTCTTTTTTTCCTCCCAAAATTCTCATAGTCGAGTAATACAGAAAAGCACCATAGCCCATTTTTAGACCTGGATTTATATGTATGGACCTATCAAATCTGCAGAATCATGGAGGACTTGGGGGGGATAGACTCAGAGAAATAGTTTTATTTCTCAGAAGTATCAGGGGTGAGAATGGGAAGCCTTGCGGGGATCTTCTTGGAATATCATACTAATAGGGGCTGGGAAAGCAGTAGAAATTTCCACTGCATCCAAAGCCATCATCCTTATGCCTAAGTCTACCAGAGTATTGAAGTCTCTGACCTCAGGCTTTCAGTGTGTTCCGTGGGGAGAAAAGGAAAATTGCCCTGTTCCTGCTAATGCACACATTTCCTGGTCCCTTTCAGCTCGGTCAGCACTTGTTGCTGCTGAACTGCCCAGGTGCTAATGCCAAAGCGTTGAGCTCCAAATTTCGTAGGAGCTCTTCCCTAAGGCCCACTGTAGGGGTCAGATCCCTGAACTGATACTAGGTCACCTGCTTTCATTGAGCTGCAAATTTCACATTTGTGAAATGGAGGAAACAGTACCAGTGATGCCTGCTTCAGGAGGCATGAGGAAAGACTACGTGATCTGGTACGCATACTGCGGCTCTGGAAAGTGAGGTATGACAGATCTGTAAGAGGTGCAGACAGAGTGTCATCGCATCTCCGAGAACTAGCCATGGGAACTGAGGCTTTTACCCTCCCCATGTCTCTGGGGAGTCAGAGTCTCTCCTACCTTCTCTGTGTACAGAGATGCTCAGCTGAGGCCAGGTGAAAGGCACTTGGAAAACCAAAGGAGAAAAGAGGGTAGGAACGCCCGCGGAAGTGAGAGTGGTGTTTTGCCAACTAAGTTGTGTATTTTCTATCATCTCCTTCAAAAGAGCAATCCCCGGGCTCACGCAGGTACTACAGAATGGGGAAGCCGTCTTGTTCTTTTCCTTGGAGACACCTGGGCTCCTGGGAAGCTCCTTCTTGAAGGAGAGCAAAAAGAGAACAAACTCTTCTTCCAAGTTGCAGCTCCGAGCATGGCCTGTGCCTGTTAGAGCTGCCAGATCCGACTAGCGGCCATCGATTTGCATCGCTGATCAATTCCAGCACTGCTGGTTAGAGCCCCCCCCCCCCCCGGGGGGACTTTTCTAATCTCCATTTTCACTGTTGACACTTTCACAGTGGTCCCCATTTCCCCCGACGCTGCCCACATCCATCCAGCCCCCCACTTCCCTCTACTCATCACAGCACTGTTTTAAGAGAACCTTTCTTTTGCTTTTTAAAAAAGTATTGCTGCCCCCACCCTCCCCCCCACCAAACCCCGTGGCTGAAAAGGGTGCTAGATGGGGCAAATCAAGAGGAGGTACAAGGCAAGGCTGAACTTGATAACCAGCTTCGGCTAGCGGCAGGGAGAGGACTACCTGTCTGTGGGTGATTTTCCTGCAGCCTGGCCCTAGAAGGATTAGGCGTCTACTCCCTCGGCCCAAGTGAAAAGTCAAATTGGTGAGGAAGTATGGGTATATGTCCCCAGCTGCCACCATGGTACACTGTCCTGAAATGTCCTCCCCACACCCTGTGCACCTGAGCTAGGTAGGGGCTACTGCGCGCACACGCCCCAGAATCCTGCCCAGTCCTCTGGTCCGAGTCGCGCGCACGCCATGCTGGAGCCTGTGGATGCCTCCTGGCTCTGCCTGGCTCTGCCTGGCTTTCTTTCTCCTGGGCGGTCTGGACACGGCGCTGTCACCTTCTCCCCACAATGTGCCTGGTAATCCCACCCCTCCACCGCTGCTCACGCAGGTTGCCCTGCCCGGCTCTGCCTGGAGCATCAAACCCATAGTCTGCAGGAGCTCGTTGCTAACAGCGCTGGGATGGCAACCAGACGGTGGCCATCCGGTCAGGCCACCCAGCCAGGCCCCCCAGGTCCACACAGACTACAAAACGGTGCCCTCCGCCCCTCGCCCCCAGCAGTTCCTAGGTCAAGGGCAGCGATCACACCGCTGCCGGTTCTTCAACTTTCATCACTCTTGGGGAAGTGCTTTGTCTCTTTAAAGGAGAGTGGGACAAATATAAATGACTCGGGTAGGTTTTACGGAGACATCTACCAAATCATCTGGATTCCGTGATAGGGATGGAGTCGGAGGTCCACAGGCTGGCCCTGAGCCCTCAGGACAGTGCGCGCGCGCGGTCACCCCACAGACCCAGATGCACCCCCCACCCAGTCTAAATCTGCAGAGAAAACTGAGGAGGAGACACCAGGCGCCAACCTAGAGCCAAGGCTTCTCCCCGCCCCGACCCTCTGACACAGCCTGCTTCCAAAGCCCAGCGGAGAAGCAGTCACCTTGACTCTCCGCGGCACAGTCCCCAGAGGTTTGGAAAAGGCCAGGAGGCCAGAGGCTCCTAGGGCGCGCTCCCGTGGCCCGAGATCCACCTCTGGGGATGAGTTTCCCTCCCAAGGGCACCGTGGCAACTTAGTACCTAGTGGCAGATAAAGCAGGGCGGGGCAGGTGGAACAGCCACCGGGAGCGCCTCTGCTGCGCGCCTACCTGGGATGGCCAAATTGGTGAGGGGGATGCTGTGGATGCTCTCGGGTAGAGTTGCCATCCAGTCGGCGAATTTCAGCTCGTTCTTCCCCTGAGACGAGGCCATGGTGCCGGTGGCGTGCCGCGGTCCCCGCACTCCTCGGGCAGGCTGGCAGGCGGCTGCCGCTAATCCAATGTTTGCTCCAGCCCCGCTAGAGTTTACACTCTGCTCTGCGCCACACCCACAGGATGGCGCAGACACACGCGGATTTTAATAATTATTCCAAACACCCCATGCTCCCCAGTGCCTCTGCCAGACTCCTCCGGAGCTTTGGCTCCTGACGTCCACGCTCAGCTTCTCCTCCCTCCCCGCCCTCCCCGACTCCCTCCACCCGTCCTGTCCCTCCTATGCGTCTCTGCCTTTTCTCGCCATTCTGCAGCTCTTCTCGGCTGCTGCTTCTTCTTTTTAACTTGGTTCAAGCAGCTGCTTTGCCCGTGGTCTTCCTCTGCCCTCTGATGTGACTACCTGGTCCTGCCCGGGGAAAAGGCAGTCTCGTGGTTGAACCTAAAATCTCAGTAGACTTGGGGATGCTGTCACCTCAGGAAGAAAAGACTCCATCACTAGCTTTCAGGACTTCGCCTTCTCACCGAAGAGCTTTCCTTTCTGTAAGCAATAGCAGGTTGGGTTTTTCCCAGCAGAACCCCCTGCTAGTAACAAAATGATGGCCTGTCATCAGCCACTCGCCTAATTTTGGGAGCAGGTGACTGGGGTGCAGTGAGGTCTGGCTGGTTCTTCCTCAGTCCCTGGCACTCTGTTCCAGACATGTGGGGGGAGAGAAGCCCTTCAGCTCCTTCATTGCTCCCATCAGGGGAAGCCTATGTGATCTCTGTGGGGAAAGCTACCTGTGCCCCTTCTCAGTCACCATCATGGCTCTCAGGACAAGACCAAAGCCTGATGCTGGCAGAAGAGAACCACGTTTCTCACTGACATGCTGTAATTATTACCAGTAGCATTTGGTGGCACTTATTTGGCACCGTTCAAAATGATCTGAGTGACTGTCAAAATTTTTGCTCCTTGGCAGACTGGAGAGATGTGCCTCTCTCAAGAGAAATCACTTGTTGAGCCTCCAAAGAACTGTCTTGGTCCACCTGCTCTCAGATAAGAAAGAGGAGAGAAATCATCAGGTCTTACAAATGTGATGAGAAAATGAAAACCGAGGTGGGAGAGAGAGCTGTAAAACACAGGGATGATTATACCGCTTCAGTAAGCCATATAGCGTTAAAACAACAACTAGCCTGGCTCAGTGAACTGAGTGCTGGCCTGCAAACCAAAGGGTCACCGGTTCAACTCCCGGTCAGGGCACATGCCTGGGTTGTGGGCCAGGTCCCCAGTAGAGGGTGAATGAGAGGCAACCACACATTGACGTTTCTCTCCCTCTCTTTCTCCCTCCCTTCTCCTTTGTCCAAAAAGAGATAACATCTAAAACAAAAACTAAAGCTTGCTTATAATACGAGGATGTAGAACCCAGGGAATATTTCAGAGGGGGAGCACTTTGGAAAACATGGAGAGAGGAGAGATAATGCCTTGTTTTTATTGCCACTGTCCCATGGAATCAATTTGCAGCTTCAGGAGGACATGGGCAGTTATTGTTAAGAATCAAAACGAGATGTACTGGGATTTTTTTTCCAAGTCTTAATATTCTTGCTAACACAGTAGAATCACATATCCTTTTGATGAGAGCGAGCGTCTAGCTCACTGTGGGATTCTCGGTCCTGAGACCTACAAACCCACCCCTCTGGCTAATGCTGGCGCTCTGTGGGCATCACAGAGGGCAATGGGAGAGCTCCGACCTGGGAAGCAAATGCTTTGTCTCTGGGGAGCAGGGGCAGGGCCTCTAGCCTTTGTCAGCCCTCATTTTTTCTGCTATAAAATGGTGACAGTAACTCAGAGACTCACAGGGAAGAGTCCAGGAAAGAAGGTGTATGACAGAGTCCAGCCAAGCTGTCTCTGATCATCAGCAAAGGGTCATACAAAATGAGAGACTCAAGTTCAATAAGATGCCATGTGTGTATCTTTTCTCTTTGCCTTTTCTATCCTTCTAAAATATCTGCCTTCAAGAGGATGAGGAAATTACTGAATCTTGGGAATATATTTAATAAGATATACTTTAAAAACATGCCTTATTGGAGTGTGTTGAGCTTCTGAGTTTCTGAAAGTTTACAAAGCATGTTTTAAAAATGAAACCACACTAACTATTGAGGAAAGTTTCCCCTATAAAGAATCGTGCACTGCATCTTTTGATAAAGCAAACAAATAATTCCTTCCCTGTTTTATCTTCTTCAAATGTCAGAATTTTTAATGTACTGGGTTTTGCATCAAACTTTAAATTTCTCCGCATGCAGTCACTAGGAAAGAACACAAGTTGATAGCTGTGAATTTCTTTCTGGACTTTATAATCGATATTGAGGCAATTTTATGACCCATCTTCCCATTATCAGTTCTGCCAACACTTACTAAGTGATATTAGGAAAACCATGTAATTTCTCTGGGCTTTAGTTTATCCACTATATTAATCTGGGTTTTTCAGAGGAACAGAACCAGTTTTAATATACAGGGGAGGGAAAAATTAGGTTTACAGTTGTAATACAGATAAATAATCCAGTAGTTAACAAATAATAATACAAGAGTAAACTCCATGTTTTGAATACTTACAACTGTAAACCTACTTCTGCTACCTCCTATACATATGTTACAGGAAAGATTTTAAGAAATTGATTTGTGGAACTGTGAGAACTCACAAATCTGAAAGGCAGGCCAGCAGTAGGTAGGATCTCTATGTTGTAGTCTCGAAGCAGAATTACTCTTCTTCAGGAAACCTCATCCTTTGCTCTTAGGACCCTCAACTGATTGGGTGAGGCCCACCCACTTTACAGAAAGTGATCAGCTTTACTCAAAGTCCAGTGATTGCTAATGTATGCTAATCACACCTGCGAATACCGTCACAGCAACATCTAGACCACTGTTTGACCAAACAACTGAGCATCATAGTCCAGCCACATCGTCACATAAACCGTCACACCCCTGGCACACTGATCTAGCATTTGTATTGATCTCTGGAACTCCTTTTAAGTCCATTATTCTATAATTCTGTTTTCTTTATGATTTTATAATTCTGCTTTATGATTCTCCCTCAGACACATGGCTGTTGGAAATAGCAAGAGAAGAATGTAAATGTTTACCTTTGCTTTTTTTACTGTATCCAAACAACTCAAGGTACAGATGAACATTTTTATCACCACAAAATACTAATGATTCTTAATCGTGGTGTCAATAGTAGCCAACAGTTTTTTAAAAGACTCTTTTAAGCATAAATGGAAAGAGAAAATTGACTTATTGCAGCGGTGTCATGGGTTATTAAAAGTTACGTAATCCTCCGCTGTCCATCAAAATCACACCGTGCGGTTTACAAACATTGCTACTCACGTGGAATATTCTTCCTTTGTATCTCCTTTCACTCTAAAAAGGGCTCTTTTTTATGTATTTTCTTTCCTTAGTTCATAATATTTCTTAACTGTTAGAATAATGTATATTTGTTCAATTAAATTGAGGTTGATTTATGTTCTAAAAGAGATTTCTTATAGGTCAGCAAACATTAGAACACGTTTTAGCTGAATACCATGCTAAAAGAGGAACTCTGTTTAAAACCATTCATGCAAATCATTGAAAAACACAATGTTCACAAACATATGTTAACAAATTTAAAATATTTATAAAAGGGCAATAAAGAACCTCTGTAAAATTAACTATTAATACCCAATGTATTTTATCATTTTCTACAACCTGTGCCTAGTTTATTCAAAGAAATTTATTTTATTTAATTATAAAAAATGCTTCTTGCCCTGGCTGGTGTAGCTTAGTGAATTGAGCGAGGGCCTGCAAATCAAAGGATCACAGTTCAATTCCCAGTCAGGGCACATGCCTGGGTTGCAGGCCAGTTCCCGGCAGGGGACACATGGGAGGCAACCATACATTGATGTTTCTCTCCCCCTCTCCTGCCCTTCCCCTCTAGAGATAAATAAAATCTTTTTTAAAAATGCTTCTTTTACATAAATTCAAGATTTAAAAAAAAATGATAACCCCTCCTTCCCGCCACTGTTTTAACATTCAGAATCTTCAGTCTTGTCCTCTGCCCCCCACCCCCACTGCAGCTGCACCTTCTACGCCAGCCCCAGACAGGTGCATTAACACTCACTAAATAGCATCTAGTGGTTGGAATCACAAGCGATGGGATCTGAAGGCTTGGATTAAGATCCACGTTCTCTCAATTAATTTCAGTGTGTTTCTTGGCTTCCTTAACTGAAGTGTGAAGAATAATGATTGCTTCCTGTGCATGGGAGAATGGGAGGCACTCTGAAGCTTAAATGAAGACGTCAAAGTTTATTGAACAGAATGGAAGCACAGTAAACCACAGGTCATTGCTATGCCTTTTCCCATGCTATTAACTCTACATGGAATGCAGGTTGATGCTTTCATCTATCAAAATGCTTTCTATTCTAACTCATCTTTGCAATTTTTTCTTTCTATCCATAGGTAGGGATATTTTTTCTTTTTCTGAACTCCCAATGCAGTTTCTTTATAGCTATCTTGTAGTATGTTTCTAATTCACTAGCTAAACTGAAGACATCACGTGCACAGAAACAGTTATTTGATGCCCTCTAATGCCCCTCACAGTATCTAAGGCATACTAAGTGCTCATTATAATCACTTACTTACTCATTTCATAAATGTGCATTGAGCGTCTATTATGTGCTCTCTTCTAGTGAAAGAGGATGGAGCAGCCAGTCCCTGAACTCACTGATTCTATGTTCCAGGGAGAATGTGGCACATGATGGCTTAACAGCCAAATAAGCAAATGACCTGGCTGTCTCTCTCCCCTCAATGTCAAAAGCCCTGCTTTACCATGCCTATTTTTAGCATTTTACAAATATCAAGAGATTTAGAACTCAGTTTTGAAAATATATTTTGAAGGACTTCCACCAAGATGGAGGCATGGGTGGAAGCACAGCACCTTCTCCCACAACTAAGTTTAAAAACAACAAAGTTTTAGCAACAAAAACGCAGCCAAACCACAGAAAATTGAACTGCACAAAGTCTGACAACAACGAACCCTTCAGCCAAACTGGTAAGAGGGGCAGAGCCAGGTGCAGAGCAGGGCCAGGCAGGAAAGATCCACCAGACTGACCCGGGCATGCAACCCAGGTGCACCAGTAGCCGTGGGTGGATCCCAGATGTGGAGAACCG